TTGATAGGGGGTAGGATCCCAGGGAGGCAGTTGGGGGAGGGGGCGGTCAGGGGACAGGGAGGGCGGGTTGGATAGGGCAGGGGGTTCCAGGGGGCAGTTAGGGGCAGGGGGTCCCAGGAGGGGGCAGTCAGGGGACAGGGAGCAGGGAGGTTGGATGGGAGTGGGGTTCCGGGGGGCGGATAGGGGCAGGGATCCCGGGAGGGGGCGGTCAAGGGACAAGGAGCAGGGGGGGTTGGATGGGTCGGAGGTTCTGAGGGGGGCAGTCAGGGGGCGGGAAGTGGGATGGGGTGGATAGGGGGCGGGGGGCAGGCTGTTTGGGGAGGCACAGCCTTCCCTACATGGCCCTCCATACCATTTCACAACTCCAATGTGGCCCCTGAGCCAAAAAGTTTGCCCGCCTCTGGTCCAACAGGAAAAACACATCTTAATTACACATAAAATCCCACCCTCAAACTGCAAACCAGGGAGGCAGCTTGGTCTAGTGTTTAGAGCAGGAGAGTGGGTGCCAGGATTTTTAGGTCCAGCTCTGCCATTAACTAGTCACAACCTTGGGCACCTTCATAAGAGGCGAGTGATAGTTAGTGCCTAACTTGAGACATAAATGGTTTGACTTAGTGCTGAATGCCAGCAGCTCCAGCCGGAATCAATGGAACCATCTCTGAAAAATCAAAACCAAAGTGACTCAGGTTGGGTCCACCAAAGCAATGGCCCCATCTGAAAACGTGGGCCTAAAGCTATGTATCAGTTTCCCCGGCAACAGTTACCCCTTTCAAAGGCACTGAGGCAGAGCTAGTTGCTTGATAGTGCTTTGAGATCTTCAGATGAGAAGGGCAAAGTATTGGAGTTTTAAAAACAAACAAGACCTCCCAACTTGAAAGGCGGGGGAAGGAAGAGATTGGGAGGGAAGAGAATTAATGCAGGGCAGTGGCTTTTCTACACATGACCAGCTTTGTGCTTTCTGTCTTGGGAGGCCAAGCTATGATCAGTTGTGAAGGCCAAAAGTGTAAGCGGGTTCAAAAAAGAATTAGAGAAGTTCATGGAGAATAAGTCCATCAATGGCTGTTAGCCAAGATGGGCAGGGACGTAACCCCATGCTTTGGGTATCCTTAAGCCTTTGATTGCCAGAAGCTGGGTCTGAAAGAGAGGATGGATCACTTGATAATTGCTCTGCTCTGTTGACTCCCTTCGAAGCATCTGGCATTGGCCACTGTCGGCAGACAGGACATTGGGATAGATGGACCATTGGTCTGACCCAGTATGGCTGTTCTTATTTAAAAATTAGTAACAAGATGTCATGTTTATTTAGGCACCCAATTTTCTCCTCCGGGTAGCTCTTCGGAGACTTGATTTCATTTGCAGAAGGCACTAGTAGCCAGGGGAAAGGGAAGACCAGGAACCATTGAGCTCAGCGTAGTTTTGTTTCTGTTATAGCATCCAGGTGTTTACGTGCTGGAATCTCTTCACCATACAGAGCAGTAGCGCACCACACTGTTCAGCCTATAAAGACACTTGTGATAAGAAGACTCACGTGTGTGAAGGCTTATGGGCCAAAAACTTCAGGAGCTGAATTGAGCCAAGTCTCGCTCCCAGATAGTCTTGTTATGCTGGAAGGCATTAATGGTGGCCATCAAGCAGGTCTTTGATCTATAGCCAATCGCAGGTCTGGTTAAAGCCAATGGGTGTGCCAAGCACTCTGTGATAGCTGGAAACAAAAGAAGCGACTGCCCAAGGCACTGGCTGCAAGGCAAGGCCTGGTCAGAAGCTAAACCATGTGGGTTGTGAGGTTCAGTCACCGCAAACACAGAGCCTAGGAAATGGTTTGGCAAGCTGTGTGCGTGTGTTAAAGCAGAGAAAACAAGTGAATCAGTCGTGTGAGTGATGAACATGTGTGGCCCTGAGAGGGAGCAGAGACAGAGCTCCTTGGGCGCAGGACTGATGGAAAGGGCAGACTTGGAAACTGTGAGCAAGAAACTACTTCCTGTTGTTTATTCCTACCGCGTTGAGGGAAAAAGGTCTTTGCAGAGATTCTTTGTAAATAAACAGGATTCACCAAAGATATATCTGACTTGTGTCACTGATTTTTCCTTCTAATGAAAACAACGCAGAAAGGCTCTGAATACTGGGTCACCAGAACACCTGGTGGGTTTTGGATGGAGATCACCAGCATAGCTAATGTGAGGAAGGGAGCAGGAATGTGGGTGTGGAGGTAGGGAGTATGAGACAGATGCTTTGTTAGACATGCATGATGCAGGAAGATTAAACCTCCTCCCTCCGCCAGGGGAAATCTGAGCTTGAGCGGGGCAGCCAGGACACAGACAGCACAGGGCTCTCAAGCCAGACTGCCACAGACTGGCAACCTGATACTGCCTGACACCAGTGCCCATGCCTCTGGCACCTGCACCCAGACCCCACCCTCATCCCCACACACCTGTGCCATAGGGTCGGAGATGGGGAGGCCAAAGGGGCATTGACCCTCACTTTGAGAAACTGAACTCGGCAGGGGTGCAATGGGTGGAGGAGGCCAGGGCCTGGGCCCCCCTTGGCCCCTGTCCGGATCTGGGTGGTGGAACAGCTGGCGTGATGGGGAGCAGCTGAGCCAAATCTGAGTGAGTGACCTGGGGTACGGGGTCCCAGCGCAGCTCAAATCTGCCCATTTTGGTGGTTTGGCCTCCGCCCCCTTTGCATGTCTTCCGGTGCCCTGAGCTGTGCCCCCCCCCCACAGACACTGCCCCCCACAGGCACCCCCAACTGGTACCCCCAATGCCAGCCCCCCTCCCCAGGCACCCCCATTCCCCAATGGGCTTCCCTCAGCCCCAGGGCAGAGCCTACCCCGGGCCCAGCTCCGAGAGGACCTTCCCCCACCAGTATCAGGGAGTAGCCGTGTTAGTCTGTATCTACAAAAACAACAAGGAGTCTGGTGGCACCTTAAAGACTAACAGATTTATTTGGGCATAAGCTTTCGTGAGTAAAAACCTCACTTCTTCGG